GTCACATTACAGCTCATCATTACATACATTGTTTTCTGTTTCTGTTGACATTTCCATGAGACCTTGAATGTGACTTTGGAAAATGTTGTTGAAATATGCTTCTGATTTATAACAATCATCAGTTCTTTCGACTGAAATGGCACTGGGTGCATTCTAAGAGTGAATAAACATCAGCTGATGAAGGTTAATTGTGCTAAAAAGTTTTATTATCTCCACCACGTTGGTGCGGGAAATCAAGGTAGAAAAGGCAATTTCCTAAAGGCTGCGCAGTGAAGCCAGATTCACAACAGCACTAGAGCAGGTGCTTAAACATAAGCACAGGCTGAAGTCCTGCCATAAATTAACCTGAACTTGAGGTCTATATGACTTCCTAATGCATGTTATGAAAAAGCTAGATGTTACTGCTGAGAATAGGTTTGTGTAAGCCTGGCATAGTAGCAGGGGAAAATAGGGTTGATGGACATGTCTCTGGAGCAATTCTGTTTGTGTTTGGTTTTTTTTTTTTTCTCAACCTGCCCTTGGTTCTCTGCACACTTATGTTACAACTCATGAAGTGGAAGCAGCACAAATCAGGTGGGAAAAAAGGGTCCGGGTATTTCACTGAATTCTTCTGCGTTCTGCTCTAGCCTTCATTGCTGTGATGCATGTTGACTTTACTGAGTTGGCATAAGCATCCTTTTGGGGCCTGCTCTGCAACACATGACACTTCTCTGACATAGCAAAGGGGTAGAACATATACCTTAGAAAATTTCTTGTTTCCATTAACGTTCTTGTTTTGAATGACTAGCAAAAATGTTGTACAATGGTAATTCTCATGGATTGAACTGACTGATTCTTTGCTTTTCACTGGCCTCATTACTCCGTGTTTTTAAACTGGTTTTGAGGGGATTAAAACTCATCTCTGGCATTTGCAAATAGCAGTATATAAACACTGGGTTTTAATAGTTATTCCAAACACGCAGGCAAGATTTTCTTAGCAATCTCTTTAGGGTTTAGATTTTGTTTAAAGTCGTCCCTTGCTCTAAGTCAGAAGCATTAATTTCTAGGTAACAGACACAGATGTCCTTCAAACCTCCAGTAAGTGGTCTCATTAAGTACTTGAGTAAAATCAAGAGTATTACATCAGATGAAATAGCTGGGAATAAAAAGCTATATTGTCTCTTGGATGGAGGGAAACTGCCCGTGGTTTATATCCAAGAAAGACCCAGAAGTTGTTACAATGCATGAGAGGTACCAGATGCTCCCCCAAAAGAAGGGGGGGGTGGGGGGTGTCGTTCTTCTTCTCCACTGGTCTAGTCATCAGAAGAGAATTGTTTTTCTTGTTTAAAGCCATGGTTACCTTGATAAATAAAGCCTCAATTCTGGAGCCTCTATGGACCTTCAGCACAGATGTTTTAGGGCTAGGTATTTGCCTTAGACTTCTGTGTAGCTGACAGCTATAACATTTTTAGACGTAGTTTGCATGAGTCAGATTTGTGGCTGGATCTCTCTGGTGGACTTAATTCACGTTTTACCACTAATGTGTTAGTATTTCCATATCCGATTAATCATACCAAAGCATAGATCAATTTGAAGGAAGCACAAAAATTATTTTTGTGTTATTTCTTCATTGTTTTCCAGGATTCTGTATCTTTGGTTTAGTACATGTTAAGTAATACAATGCAGAGATTATCTCCTTTTCTGGACATGTGCATCACTGGCAAGCTTAGTAAAAGTCACCACAGCTGGATGTGGAAATATTGTGTTAGTATTTGAAATGTCTGCATGCATCTACATATGCCCCCTGTACAGGATCAAGTGATACATTAGCAGTAGTTTGGATGTATGTGAATCGGACAGGTGGTCACAAATTTTGCCCGTGCTAAGAATAAAAGAAGAAAGTCAGTTTCTGCAAATATGAGATAAAAGTTGTCCTGTGTAATATGTTGAATTTCAATGAAAAATTGAAACGGTTCACTCAGTCTAAGCTAGCTAACTGTTTAGAGTAGGTCAAAGCATGAATTAGAAAATGCACAAGGTGTCTGGTGATTTGGGGTTTTAATAGTCAGGATTTTTTTAAATCACTTGAATAGTTGCACTGGAATTAAACATCAAGCCCTAATAGGGACTGATTTTCCTGAGCTGTGACAAACAGGATGTGATTTCTATTTTATGATTAACAGCTCTCCTGACTCTGGTGTTGCAGTGATGTAGAGTTCATCTTTTCATTGCTGTGGCATTCACAAGTGGGGCTTGGTAGTAATTTATTTCAGGTGGTTAGCTGTAGCACATAACCTAGGAGGTTTTTGAATCAGGTTCCTATTGTAAATTGTTCCTGAAAGATCTTCCTAATCTTATTAATATTGACTGATTCTTTGTGTTAGGATTTCCCAGGGATTGGTGGAGTCTAAAGGATTAAAGGCCTCTGAGTCAAGGATGACCTAGATTCTGATAGATTTTATTATGCAAATCCTTATGATCAGAGGTCATTAATGGAAACATCTGAAGCTAATATGAGTTAATATATTTGAGTGCTCTCTGAAATTAATGAATGTTTTGGTTCCAGGTGAGTACAGTACCATTTATGTTTAAGTATTTCAAAACTGCTTTGATTTAGAAGCGTACTCAAAAAGTGACTTAGGATCTTAAATGTCCAAATCCTTTTGGCTGCAGCTGAAAGTTGGGTTCTGGAGACACTTTTGAAAACAGGGTTTTCCTCTGAAGTCACAGTGGGGGATCGGGGCATTCTCCTCTGGTCTTTCTAATATGATTTCAAGAAAACAGTAGATTCCTAACAATGGAGCAAGTTCTCGATTTCATTTTTGTAAAGAAAATTCCCTGAGCTTTTTTTGTTATCTTAAGCGGAAAAATAAAGTATGATGAAGAACAGCAAGAAATTAAAAAACTACTGGCTTTCCCAACTCGAAACAAAAGGATGATTTATACGTATGGCCATTTTTCTTTTCTATATTTTCAAAGTGCTCTATTACTTGAAGATCTGATAAGCAGACAAAGTAATATTCCCGAACAACCTGGTCCTCACCTGTTACAGTCCAGCTGTCCCTACTGTTTGGGTGGGTGCAGGGATCTGCAATCAAAACCAGGAGGATTCTGAATGTAATTTGTATATAAAGGCATTAATGCATTTTCCTTTATGGTGGCTTCCCAAAGTTCAGCACCTGGACCTCAGGCCACAAATGAAAAAGCTCTCTATTTGGTTCTTTAAATATGTTTTCATTCTTTCATTTATTTCACAAGTGTGACTACTTAATTATATTTGTTTCTTTTATTAGTAGTTGCCTTTTTATATCATACCTTTCTCCTGAGAATATGAAAATATGTAAATAACCTGAGCAAAGACATTCCATTTTAGGCCAGTAGTAGGGTAGGCCATTATGATTATGCTATTTATGAATAAACAGAGGCGTTTACCCAAAATATTCAAAGCTGACTCTGAAAATCTAGCTGAAAAGCCTTCAAATTATGCATATGTTTTAAAACTTGTTTTTGTAAGTCTGTCAAGCAAGGAGTCAGTAGCAGAGGTGGGGACAGAGCACAGGGAGCTGGGCTCTCCCTTTTCTGATATCATGAGCAGTGCTGGGACAGGTTCTGATTTTGATTATTTTGGTTTAGATCAGGGTGATATCCTTGAAGTCAGTAGCATGCGGACAGTCTAACATTTGATGACTGGCCTTACTTAGGTTTGGACCCTAACTGTGAGAGGCCTTGCCAGCTGGTGCTTAAGATGTCACTCTCCTCCCCTCGTTTTACATGGACGTGCAGAATTCGCGATCTCGGACGAAATCCTGTAGGATGGGGATCCAGTGCGCCTTGTTTTGAACAGGAACGCTTTTACTGGCTCTTTTGCCACCCCCACACGTCTGTCGTCTGCTTCGTGTGTACCTCTAGCTCCCTTCGAGACAAACTGCTTTGCAGCTCCCTGGAACGGAAGGCAGAAGTGCAGCCCCACCGCCGCCAGCACCGCGTCCTTTGACATTTCCCAGTGCACTGGGGCAACATCTTGTTTCCTGCTTCTGTACTTCTCTGCTGCCTTGCAGAATATACCAGCAGAATGTGGGTTAATGGGGCAGGCATGGCACAGAAAATAGTCTCTCTGGTGGAGTCATTAGGATTTGCTGGCAGACTGCCAGCTCGGTGCAATTTTACACTCACTTTTCAGAGCAAGCTTAAAGGGGAAACCTCTGTTCGCTTTAATCCTTTACAGCCAGCAAGAGGCTGCTGGGGCTTGCCTGCCACTGTCCAGGTCTCTGATGAACAGCTGGCTGGAAATTCTCATCTAAGCACTTACTCAAATGATTTGTTCGTGTTATTGTGAAATGGGTAGTCAAGACTATTTAAAATTAATGGATCTGCATGGGATTGATCGGTGATATTGCTGTCTCCTACGTTTGGCTTTTCCCAAAGTTAAAAAGCAGAGTTTGAGGTGCATTTGGAGGAGGGGGGTAAGTGGCAGAAACCCACAAAAACCCCAACCCCTCCAAAAAAAAACCCCAAACCCTAAGCCCCTACAAAACCTTCTGCCTGGGAAGGCATAGCTGAGCAGGCACAGCTAGACTTCAGCCAGTACCATACATACATATCAAAGATTTTAGGTCTGTTCTGCAACAGGCTTCAGCTGCATGTGAAATTAATAGCAGCTGATAGCACACAGCTCCTGAAAGGGTTAGGTTATCACAGCTGTAGGGCATTGTAATTTGTTACTTGCGTAAAGAGTTAATCAGAATAATATAATTAATTAGTTATTGTCATATAATAAACTGATATGCAAATTGATTTTGGAAGAAATTACCTGATATTATATTTATTTTACTTTGTTGCTTAAAATGGAATTGCATCAACCAGAATCAATAACCAATGTGTCTTTTTGTTTTTAGAAACTTTAGGTCACTTTTCATGTGAAACATGCAGCCCCAGTTAATGCTTACTGATCTGGAATTAGAGAGCAAAAGGGTTAAATCTCAATCCCTCTCTGATTTGTATTTCCCTCCCCTCCTTCCCAGCTGTGGACATGGATGGAAGATCTGCAGAAGGAGCTCTTAGAGGATGTCTGTGCTGACTCTGTGGATGCGGTTCAGGAGCTTATCAAGCAGTTTCAGCAGCAACAAACAGCCACCTTGGATGCCACCCTCAATGTTATTAAAGAAGGGGAAGATCTAATCCAACAGCTCAGGTAAGCATCCACCTGGAGGACAGGTGTTGAGAAATCTGATGTATGCTGTGGTTTAGGTGTGCATAAATAGGGAACTGTAAGTTGGTATTAATTGGGAGAGTTTATTAATTCTTTGCTTATTTATGATTCTTCAAATTTTTTGAGTGTTTTTATTGAAATTGCAAGGAGTGATTTGTGTGGACTGATTAGAGTAGCCTGTGGATCAGCATGGGTTCCTGTCTGACAGAGAGATTATTTATAGGCACAGTGAAGTGAATTGAAACATATGTGTTTCAGGTGAATATTTTTAGTTGGTATTTATACAAGATTGTTAAATGGTTGTAAGCTGAGGCCTCGTGATTTATATGGTTACTCCTGATGTAGAAGTGTATTGCTCTTAATAAAAGATAGATATGTGTAACAATCTTCACTCTTTCATTTTGCATGCAGCACCCTTTGTCCATGTGAGGTTTATTCATACTGTCAAAGAAGGTCTTATACCTACAGTTCTAGTTGCATTATGAATTAAAACAGCTCATTTTACCTGATTTAAATTACATTAAGAGACTGGCTCCAAGAAGTTAGGGTTTTTTTGCTTTCTCAGTCTGTAAGTGTAGTAAAACGAATGTTTGCAGAGTAAGCTTACACAAAACTTGTAGTTGTGCAATCTTTCTCATTTGTTGTTATTTACAGTGGTTTTCTGTGGCTTTAACTTTGTTGGCAGCAGGGGAGTTTTCCTGCTTTTTAGTGACGTTACTGAGCTCAAAACCAAGTCCAACACATCACTTATTCTTTAGATCTTTGTATTACAGATTGCCCTTATCTTCATGTACATAGTGTGTACATTCTGTATACATATGTAATATGCAAATCTGCCAGGTCTTATGCATTTCACCAGAGACTTACGTCATCCTCCTCACCCTGAGCTTTCCTAATCTGATGCCTTCAGTTCTCACATGAGACATGCAGAAAACCATGAGCCATGACAGGAAAAGCCTAAGGTGCTCTAGAGCAGAGTAGATAATGAAGGGCCATAAGAATGTATGTGTGGCCAGCCATAACAGGTCAGTCAGAGGTCTGCATGGTAATTTCCCTTCATGCAAAGAAACTTTTTGCAAAGTTTAGGGCGTTTCTATGAGATCACAAAAATGGCAGTGAAATTCTGGACTAAAGATTTTTTTGTTGTTCATCCCATTGGCACAACATCATTTCGGCGTGAACACCCATGGAGAAGAGTCTGAAAGGGATTCTGTATAAGCGCATCAGGTGGAGTGTGGGGTGGTTTGTGGCGTTGCCAAAAGTGTCTGTATTGAAGGAGTCCTGGTGCTGGCTGTGGGATTGGCCTAAAGGCTTTTTGCCTGCACCTGAGTCAGTAGGAAAGCAGCATGTGGAGCTGGAGAGTGGCAATATTTGGAGCTGTCAGTGGAGCATCAGTATGAATAGCAGTTATTGGAGAAACACTGGTGTAGTGGCTGCAAGGTCATGCAGGGAAGGGGTGAACTGGGAGATGGTGTGTGGGACTTCATCTTTTTTTAATGTAAACTTAGTCAATTCTTAGTTTCAGTCTTTGAAAAGTAAGGATGGCCTCAGGTTTGAGACTTTTTTTAGAATTGGTGTCATGCCTAAACATTGGTGAAATGCCAAGACAGGTTTTGTGGCAGCTGTATTTAACAAAGAAATGTTGGTTTTGGGGTCTGGCTTGTATTCTGGGCAGTGAGCAAGGTGGAACAGGCTGAACACATTTGTGCAAAGTGATCCCCTGCTTCGGATAAAGTTAAGACCAAACACAGAGGGAACAGTTGTCTGAAGGACAGAAGCCCTGAATGCACGCAAAGACTTGCAGAGCTGAACTGTCAAGATGATCTCTGATTCAAGTGTTGGTTTTGAGCACTCTGACTAACTGCAAAGCCTGTAATGCGATCCTGGACTCTCTCAAAAAGTAAAACAGAACTGCGTAAGAAAAACATGGAACCGCCTCTGTATGTGCCCACTCTAACAGCTTTTGTGGCTGCTGGCAAAAGTAAAGAACACACAGATAAAGGAAAGGAGGACAAATTAGAATTGCTGCAATCTTTCCTTAACACAGCATTGCATTTCACAGTGTGGATAACTTGTACCTGCCATGAAGAATAGCTGAAGATTGGAAGCGCTACAACAATGAAAAGAATGAAATACACTGCTCTTATCAAGCGTGTCATAGCACAGTTTAAATCAATAAAATTAATGGGGCTTTGAAAAATTTTATACATTTCTTGTCCTTACCTCTGAGAGAACAGATACTGGTTTAGAGAAGATCATTTGTGTAATACCACTCTGTGTGTCCTCCAGATAGCTTAGGAAAAGCTCAGCTGCCTGAACTATTTAAATACAATGCCTGGGACTGCTCTTCACAGAAGGTCTTCAGGGCCTTCAGTGACTATATCAGGAGACCATACCTACAGGAATAAAACAGGCCTGGTGAGCAACACTGTACGTGTCATGGTTAGCATTGGAAACACTTCTCACTCTTCCTTATCAGTGTTTTACTGAGGTGATCATCGTTCTCAGCAGTTAACACAAAGCAAATCTTTTGAACTGCATTTCTAGGAGTGCTGCTGGGGGCAATATTTCTGCACATCTGTGAAAGGCAAAACAATTACTTGCTCCAGTGAGATGTGAAAGAACAGGAATGTTAGGGGCAAAAAAAAGACAGTGAAGAGTTATGTATCTTGCCTTCTTTACAGTAGTTCAGCATATGAGCTTTTGATAATGGGTATCTTTCACTAAGCTTTCTCCCAGTTAAAGTACTGAAAGTGGTTTCAGGAGCACAGCATTCATTCTGAATAAACTCAACAGCAATGCACTAAGCCCAATTTTATGTTCCCTGAAGTTCATTTTGTATTTTTTTCCAATATTTTCCCTGCATTTTATAACTCTAATTCGTAACCTTTGAAAAACTAGTAAGGATCTTTTATGAATTCTTTCCCAGAATTTCTCATCACCAGACAGAGCAAGAAATTTTGTGGCGGAAGCATCCAATCTCAGAAATTTCTTTTTCTGGAAGAAGATCTTTCTCAAACCAGACTACATAGGGATTTTCACGGCCTTATCTAAGGAGACTGTGAAAAAATACCAGATTATTACACTTAAGTTTTTGTATTGCATCAGCCACTGAAATGGAAGTGTGGCTTGATTTGAAGAGTGAAATGTTTAATCAAAAATAATTTCTAAAACCAAGTGTGTCTTTAGATCCCGTGAGAGATTATTCAACACCAGTCTTGAATAATTCATTGAGTCATTTAGATAATATATGAATAGTAATAATCCTATTACTGTTCGTAATAATCATTTGAATGAAGACATATTTCATGTCCTTTTATAGAAGACAGGTGCTGACTGAAGGAAACAGAACTTGATTGAATGTGGCCTCAGATTAAGCTGTTTCAAAATCTCACCTTGTTATCTTCATTCATCCTTCTTCTGTACAGATCTAATGTGGAGGCAGGGAGAGACCTTGTGGTCACCAAGAAGGTGAAGACACAAGACTTAGTGCAGCAGAAACCATATGACCTGGAGAGAGTAATATTGGTGTAATATTCCCTTATAAGCAAGGGAATTTGGTAGTACTTGCTTCAAAATAATGCTGGAGCATCTGAAGTTCAGTGTATCAAACATAAAGTATTTGAGGAAAAAGAGGTGAAACACATCCAAAGAGCAAACTACTATACTATTGTATTCTGTATTTTTAAATTTATTCTTAGGCTTCAGATGTTCAGGCAAATGCTTGTTCTGTTCCTTCAAGACACATAATGAAAACAGAATAACATGTGTGTTTTGTTGCCTTAGAACCTCAAAGGTGTGTTTTAAATTTACCTAAAATGACTCTGTGTGTCAGTGCCTAGTTTCAATTTAACGCATCTGTAAAAAGTTACACTTTTTTTTCCTCAATTATACTCACTGACAGTGTTCAGTTAACATTTAAGTAGACTGTACATTGTTTTGATCTGACCCTGCATGATGATAATTTGGAAAGAGCAAAGCATAAGCATTTCAGTCAAGTTCTGTAGAAAACTACAAATGCTTTGCTAGATGTTTATGGAGGGAAAATTCCATCCAGAAAAGGGAAATAAAAACCTAAAAATTGGGAACACACTAGCACTCTTCCACAGTGGGGAGACTCTGCAGGCACCTCTACTCAGCAGCCCAGGTTAGCTGGCCAAAAGAATGGCTTCCAGCTGCATTTGGTCCCTGTGGGCCGGTGCGTTGATCTGCCAGCATTACCTGACATTTTGCTTGTCTTCCAATATTGTCAGCCGCTTCGCTGCACACATAAGAGTTTGTTGGTGCACCAATAGTCCAGTATGTGCTGTTGGATTTGTAACTGTCCCCCCCCACCTTCTCCAAGGCAGAACTGGAGATTGATAGGAAATATTGATGGTAAGACCTGCTGGCTTACCCACTTCATCCTGTTATCCTACCAGTGCACAGGTCTTTCCAACAGTATATTTGATAGGGTTTTCAGTTGGCTTGGTTTAAGTATGCCATATAATGCAGCTGCTATCACACGCCTTTGAGCAGGATGGATGGAGAAAATGATTGCATCTAAATCTTATTTTACCTAAAGTACCAAAGATTAAATTATGGCTTCAGAGTTTCCTTTCTGGTTCCTGTTAAAATTGGGGGACTTTTTGTGGCACATTCGAGGATAAATTTCAGCTCTTTATGTCTGCAAAGGCTCTTTATCTGTAAAACACTCACTGAAAGAAAATTGCTGAAGATGTAGCAGCCTGTAGGTGAGCCTATTAATATATGCGAGAGCACAAATAGAAAAGAAACTGTCAGGACTGTCCTGTGTCCATGCTAAGACTTCTTTCAGGTACAGCAAACTTCCCCTTGGCCCTAGCCCACCAGTTAAAGGGCTAGCTCCCTTCTGCTGCCTGTATATGAAAGGTGTAGATGCAGCAGTATCTAACTTGTCACAGGAATGTCTCATTTTGCTTACCCTGGTGAAAAGACAAGTCAGAGTCTGTCTTACAGTGTTTGAAAGGTGTTTTTCTTCAGTGGAGGTTTTTGCACTGTATTCTGCATCTATTGCTGTACTATGTAATCCAGAGGAAATCAAGGCATCCCTACCCTTTGGTCTAAAATGCTGGTAATTCTGATTCAATTAGTCTGTAAGTAATGAAGCAAATGCACAAAATGAACTTGTAAAGGTCCAGGTGGCTAAATAGCATCTCTGAGCTTGGTGTGAGTATAGGCTGGAGCAGGTCCCTCTGTAGGATTAAAGGGGATTGCCAGCCAGTCTCCCCAAGAGATCCAATGAGACTGATGTGTCATTCTCCTCCCCTCCCAAGTGTGTAAGGTCGCAGTGTCACGACATAAGAAAGGATGATCCCCTTGTTCAAACTTTGTGCCAAGGTCAGGAGCTGCGGGATTCCAGCGAGTAGAAGAGATGAGTGTTGCATACACCTTCCCTCAGCCCTTTGTGCTTGGGTTTGCTTCTCAGCAGCACGCAGAATCACAAATGTGTAGTTCTTGCTCTTTTGCCTGCCTTAAAGCTCAGCTTTAACCATGCTCTCTGCCTTGCTACAGGGACTCTGCCGTTTCCAACAATAAGACTCCACACAATAGCTCCATCAGCCACATTGAATCTGTCCTCCAGCAGCTCGACGAGGCCCAGGTACAGATGGAAGAGCTCTTCCATGAGAGGAAGATTAAGCTAGACATTTTCCTTCAGCTCCGGATTTTTGAACAGTACACCATTGAGGTAAGAGCTGGCTGCATGACCTGAGAAAGGTAGAGCTGTGGGAGAGGGAGTATACGTAAACATACTCTGTTAGGATACACCTGGGGCTGTTTGATTGTGCTTGGTTGTCAAGTGAGGAAAAGAGAGTGAGTTACAACCAGGTTTTAAATTCGGCATGTTGAAGCTAAAAATATGCCTTAGGATATACTGCTAGAATGCACTGAAATAGATTCGTGTCTTCTTAACTGACTATGCTGAGAATCTGCCTGCTTTGCAGAGAAGCTTTGTAAGATGCCCCTCTTATAACTCTTTATTGACACTAGTCACTCAGAGATTTGAAAGTTCTGTGTCACTTATTAGTGAAGTTTGTCTCTTCACATACAAACATAAATGCATACAAACAGATACATGCTTTGCTTTAAACCACCGAGTGAAAAAGCATGTTATGCATGAAAGGAAAGGATATTTAAAAGATGGGCTTTTTAAGCATCACAGTGGATTTATTTAAAAAGGAAAGAAAAAAAAGAGGGGAAAGTTAAAGTATATTTTTATGTCCTCGTGCCAAAAAGGTCTTTCAGTTCTGTTTTGTACTTCTGTTTTGAAATCAAAAGCACTGGATGGAAAACTCATCAAAACACTAATAATTGAGGTATTCTTGGACAGAGAAACTTTAAAGAGACTCCAGCCAATCTCATTAATTACTTGCTGTAATTCTGATAGGATATGATGCAAAAAGAACAACATGTAAATTAACTTGTGCACAAAATCCATGAAAGCCATGTGTCAGTGCATATGTCCCTTCTGGGGTGTGTTCCTCCTACTGTATCCCACTGGTGCTCGTTAAGTTCATGGAGCACCTTTTAGTGTTTTATGATGATATATTCCTGAAGGTATTGTTTGTAAATCTGTAGATAATCTCAAGGCGGGTACTGGTAATTAATGGGAGCCTTAGAATGCTGTGTTATACTTTGTAAGTGTTTATTTTAAGACAAGGCATGATGAATTATATTGGAATAAAAGGCTGGAAACAGAGGGTTTTAGGTGTTTTGATCTGTAATCGGATGCCAGAGATAGAAATCAGTGAGGAGTATCTGAGCTTTCCTGTTGTGACTGCATAGTTAGGTATTGTACTGAATTCTGTTGTACAGTGCTTGTTATTTATGTAAATTAGAATAGTTTCATTTTACTTACCGGTTATATACAGCCTCCTTGATATTGAGAGACAGCATTCTTTGTGAGTATGTGTGTATAAGTATAAATGTATGTATTTCATGTCAGATAACATACTTTGCTTTAAGAACGCTACATTCAAAATTCAGGAGCCTGCAGTAACTGTAGTATCTCCTATATTTAAATACAAGATATTTTGATACAGTGGTGTGGCAAATGTTGAATATTTGAGGGTTTTACTCTAAAGATATAAATGTGGTGTGAATGCGTATACTTGTACATACCTATAAATGGCACCTGTGTTTTCAAAAATGAAGCAAAAAAAAAAGTGAAAAACAGTATGGGCTTCTGGAACACCCAAATGTGTCTGTAGGCAATATATGGTGAACCCACATGAATCATTCATTAAGATCTCAGCCAGTTTCACTGCAAATTCTAGGTCTGAACTTAGTAAAGATTAAGTAAAGATCTAAAAACAAATTCCAAAAAAATCACTGTTTTCAAATTTTTTTCTTTGTACATAGTCTTTCAATCAAAGATCTCAAAGGTTGTTACCACCATGGATTGCTTTACTGATGAGGCAACCGAGGTATCAGGAGATGATGTGATTTATCCTAGTCCCCTCCATATGTGGTGCCAGAGATGGGAATACTATGGGCATGCCTCTGTTTTGTTTCTGCATGAATCCTACTTCTGTGTATTCACAGGCATATTTGGAGTGGCTGTGATACATTAAAGATACTTAAAATTGGAAATGAGCTTCAGAGTCTTCTAAAATCAGATTGGCTAGAAAGGATTTTAAAGAAAATCACCATTTAGTTGTCACTGTAGATTTGCTATTTTTTATCATAAGAACATCTGAATTCCCTCTGCAAGAATAATATTACAAGGAAATCTGAGACCTTGTTTCATAGGGAGTCTATGGGCAGATGATTTTATTTAGAAAGCTCCCTCCTTTGGAAAAAATATTTTTTTATTTTAGAATAATTATGACATTTAATTTATAATTGAACACACAATGAAAAGTATATCCAGGTCAGTGTCTTAAATTTTATAAGTACACTTAGTGCTTAAACAAGAAAAACAGTTTGATGGATAATAAATAGAAAGGCAATTTGAAATAAAATATTAAATGACACATGTACGCTATGCATTGCGAACAACAGCTGAATTGGCTCAAATTGACACAATAATGATCCTTAGAAAGTAGATTGCAGTCAATTGCCTCAGCCGTATAATAAAGATCCCAAGTCAGTAGGAAACTGTTATCAAAACTAAAAAATTATCTCATGCCATTGTTGAGAAGCAAAAAGATTTTTTCATCACCATAATTAAAAAGCATGTAGTATTTCTGACAGTTGACTATTCCAAGCTTTTAAGGGAAAAAGATGACAAAATTTAAAACAGGAAATTAAGTATTTTTTATACTAAAGAGAAGTAGCTTGAGCTATGACTGGAAATGTGTTTAGGTTTTAATTTTCTGTAATATCCCAGATCCTGCATAGATCCTGCATAGATTAAGAATAGTGAAATAATGTGTACCAGTATGATTGTCAAATGAATTTCTCCTTTTCTAGTCTAGATAAGCCCCCTTCCATCTGTCCAAAGAGCAGTGCCATATTGAACACATCCCTAAGGAAACCGCTCTACCTGCTGCAGCCATGTTAATGTCTCTCCTTCCTGCTCTCACACAAACCGTCTGCAAAAAGTGGGCCCTCCACCTCCCAAACTTGAACACCTTTGTCCTCTTTGCTGCTTCTGTCTTGTCAAGCATTGAGTTGCCCATTTTTCCCCCTCAGGTCTGTGTTCTCACCTTTTGTTCGTGGGTTCTTGTGCTCCAGGGAATCCCTTATGATGAGGACCCTTTCCTGGGAACTCTGGTGAGAGGAGAAACTTGCATCTCTCTACTGGAAGCCACAGGGATGCTTCCAACAGCTTTAGGGAAGGCTGTGCATTAGAGCTCAGTCTCAGAGAATAGTTGTTGTCTCTCACATTGTCTCTTTCCATCCAGTTTTGGATGGAAATATTTTTGATTCTGTTAATTTTCCCTACTACCCCCTCTCTCCTTTCTAATTAATGATGCAAACTGAAAGTATTAGGAATTTTTCAAACTCGCAAATGGCAATTGAGTGATTGGCCTTTAGTTTTATTTAGAAAGTGTCTGACTGTCATTTGTTCTTTGGAAACTTTCCTGCTTTTACTGTTCTCCCCAGATACTGAAATCCATGCCATAGATCACATAACCCTTTACTTTGGCACTCCTTCCTAAGCTTGCACTGTACCCGTCTGCTTTGTAGCCTTCCTGGTTTTTGAGCTTTTCTACAATCTTCTCTTCTTGACAGAGGCTTGGAGTCCAGACAAACTTCAGAATTAATGATTACTGCACGAGCAACACTTACTTCCATCTATTTAGGCATCATTGGACCTTTTCTTGTACTCAGTGAAATCTGCCAACAATTGTTGCATTTTGTCTTCAGGAAAAGTATTTTATGTAAAGAGAAGCCACCTGCCTCTTTCTTTGGCAGGGCAGGCCAGCTGCGTTCATTTGGGACTTCTAAGGACTTCTAAGCTGCTCAGGCAGCTTTTGTGTTGTACTTGAGTCAAGGCAGGTTTGGCAGATACAAATTTGGATACAAACCCACAGGCACATAGCATGTGCTGCCTGTTCTTTCTTGCCTTAATCTCATTATATTGACTGATATTTACACTCTGGGTTCTTGGGGTAAATTATGAAATCCAAACTATGACAACACCTGGAAACAGACATAACAGAAACATGAGAAAGCTTAGGTATCCCTATGGGAGGCTATTCTGCCTTACATTTTAAAACCATAAAATGACAACCCATTCTTTATTTAGGAAACGTGTCTAATTTTGATGCCTGATATGTTTTATTTCTTTACCAAGTCATTGCGTATTTCAAGACAAGATGGGATCATTAGGATTATATGGTTGGTCTTTCTGTATGATACAGACTTCAATTGAGTTCGTGCAGCCAGCCAAGTAACTCAGGAGATTTCATGCAATGTGAATGTGGTAGCTGATCCACTACGAGGATATAGGGTGTAAGACTCAGGAGACGATAGCTGACAGATATTAACAGCAGTGCTGGCACCACACTGAGCACGTTATATGTATGAAGCACAGTCTTATTCCAGAGTTATATCGTCAGTAAAATCTGTCAAGTATGCTTTGTCCCTTGCTTCAGAAATAGTCATTTAAAGGCTTATTAACCATTATTTGAATGAATCCTAATATACAGTAAAATGCTGAGTAAGTGCGTAAGAAGTGAATGGTAAAATGCACTGAGTTGCAACCCCTACAAAATTATTGCCACCCAGAGTATTTCTGCATATTTTTTCTTTATATCTTTTGTAGTGAGATGGTCAAATTCACCTGTAGGCCTCTACAAAACTCTGGGACTGAGAACAGGAATGATCTCAGCCAATACGTATCTGGCAACAGTTGTTGGTTACCTCCAAAGAAACTTCCCTCTCCCTTTCCCAGAGCTGCCCAGCTCCTTCCCTTGTGTGTGTTGTTTTGTTTCCTGCAATGCATATGGATCTGTGCAATGCTAGACAGAGCCTATACACTGTAGTCTTAGAGCAAGGCCTAGGCCAAGACATAGTCCTGGAAGAGATTATGGGGGTTCTTGCTGTACAATATAAATTTGATCTTGTATGCCGTTTGTAATCTTTCAAAAACCCCATGATCACTAAAATCTTCACCTGCTGGATATCTAATTTTCCACCATTCAATCTCTTTGGCTCCATTTCACCTGCTAATTAAATTTTTCAGCCTTGATTTCACTTGCTGGCTCTTCTGGCTGTTCGCATCCATCCCTGAGCATG